TTATTTTTATTATCACTCTGTACCGCTCAGACTTCTTGAAAAAAAAAAGTTTTCAAATAAATAAAAAAATATATTAGTATTAACAGACATGAAAGAACTTACTCAAAAAATGTCTGACTCGATTTTACTGCATTCACACACACACACACACATACGGATTAAACTACAAATGTAGATAAACGAACAGGTCTTCTTCAAAGAATAAAACAATCTTGAGATATTCTAATATTGAGAATGGACATGAACGCGCACGACGCTTGCACGCGAAAAAAAATCTTTTCGTTTTGTTCTCGTCTGATTGAATTACTCATATGTATTAACAAAAATAAAAATATTCTGTTAGTGAGATTGATTTATTAAGAAAATACATAGAAGATATTAATGAGAAACAAAAGATTATCTAATTTTAATATCAAACTTGCTTTTTGCATCAAAATGAGATTAAAACTAAACAAAATAAATCAGATAAAAGTATCAAGAGAAAAATATATATATATGGGTATTATTTTAATAATTTCTAAGATATAAATGTCTCTTATAAAATCAGTCAAAGGCAAAGACCAACGCGAAAAATATGAAAAAATTGATCTTCGAATACGAAACATGGTCGAAGAATTTCATACTGTTTCTACGAACGACTATTTTAAAATAGCCAGATCAGTGTTTAATCTTTGAACCAGTACATTCTTTATTCTCAACTATTGTTCACTTAGCGTATTTGTTTGTTTATTGTAAATAAATACTATTTATCTCTGTGAATAATTTAAATCAATATATTTTTTGAAATTAAGAACAATTTTTTTATCAGCAGCTAGGCATAAATTTCCGCCCGTTCATAATTCAAACGAAATTTAAGAAAAATATATTTTATCATCTGTTTCTCAATTCGCGCGCAAGTGTCTATACGCTCAACCGTCGTGCGCGTATACGTCCGCGCGTAACTGTCGGTCAATCGCTTCTTGAGTCACGTCTTGTGCATACATAGATTCAATGGTGACGGAAAAAATCGACTATCAATAGAGAGCTGCTACCGATTGCACTGCGTTATTTATTATTATTCTCTAGTTATATAATGCTATGACTATAAATCAAAGTGAAAAAACGCACGCACACTTTTGTCGTCACAACAGAAAGAACAAAAAAAAATCTATGGCAATATAACTGCTTGCATTGTGTGCGCTCGATATTTTGTTAGGAGAGAGAATAAAACGTCGTCATTCTATTCTTATCGCGTGTTGTAAAAGAAAAAGAACTCGTCATATTAATTTTATATTGAGAAATAAGTTCACTCAGGATGTCGCTGGAGCAACAGATACAAAGAGAAAGTGAACGATTTCAAGTTTTATTCAATCGTTTATCTGATACAAGATGGAGTGAAGATGCAACACCAGAAGCACAGTCTCATTTAGCTGCTTGTCAAAATCAGGCTCATCTCGTACAAAGTAATATTAATGCATTTAATATGGCAGCCGAGAAAGAGCATAAACGTTTGCTCGATATCAAGGGGCATGGTGTCAAACACGCATGGTACAAGATTCGAGGTAAACTAGATCAACGGTTGGATGAACAAGAAAAACTTTGGCTACAAAAGTTTGAAAAATGTAAAGTAGAAGAAGAACATTTGGCTGTTTTGAAGAATGAAATTCACTCTGCTCAAACATATTTACAGCAATGTCAAAGTGCTTATCAAGAGTATGTCAAATCTAAACGTGAATTGGATGGACTCTTTGAACATTTCTTTGGTGGTACTACACCTTCTTATCCTGAAGAAGATACAATAGAACAAAATTTGAGAAGAGAAGAAAGACATTTAAGCAATTTACAAAATAATTGTCGTATGTTAACACAAGTTTTTCATTTATTACAACAAGCTCATCAAGCTGTTACTATCTCTCGACAAGCGCTGGATGAAGCACTGAATATGAACACTTTTGATTTGTTTTCTCATTCGTCTTTTGCAGATATGGCAGTTAGTTCTCACTTAGCTACAGCTAGAAATGCATCTGCTCAAGCACAACAATTACTCAACGAAGCTAGACGTATATATCCAAATATACCACATATTGGTGAATTGCATATCAAACAAGATAATCTTGTTTTTAATATTATGTTCGATAATATTTGGACTGATATGAATATGAGACGAATGATTCAAGAAGCATCAAATCGTATTAGTCATGCCGAGACAATTTTGACGGGTGTTGTATTAGGTATTAAACAACAATTAACAACATGTGAAGCTGATCGTGATAGGAAGAGTAAAGAAGTGAAACGTCTCGCAGGTGAACATTTTACTACACGAGTTTCTATTGTACGACATATCATAGAACCGCCACCTCCATATTCGTCCGTGTAATAAGGAATTGCTTGAGACTTCAGTTGATTTGTATTTTTTTTGTTATTGTTGGTGTGTTATTATGAATTTTTTGCTGTCTCTCTATTGTATTCTATAATCTTTGTAAAAATAAGCTAGATTTGGTGTAAATCTACACCTGTTAATTTTCTTTCTCTCATACGAATAATTATTATACTTTATTTAATTCGTCCTGCTTTTGGTCGTTTTTTTGGTACTGTATTATTGTAATGTGATGTATTGAATTGATCAATAAAGAATTATATATAACTATCTCGTAGCTATACATATTAATTTTCGCTGCATAGCAATAATCAAATACTACTACTCTATGTCATGTCCACTGAACATGATATACTCTCTTTCCTCTTTCATGCATCTGCTTGCATTCATACTCCTCTCACTTCCCCTCTTTCTCACACACATACATCCCACTCTATCTTTGATATATTGTGGATGTTTTATACATTTCATCTTTTATGATATAGCTTACGCGTGATGATATGTGCTCATGGTATGCTTCACTCCTTTTTGTTTTTGCATTCATATGCGGTCGTCTTCTTGTTATTTTTTTCATTTATATTCATTCAATTCTTTTTTGTTCTTGGAATATACACGATGAGATATTCATCACATAAATATACATATATCCTCCGTAGTTTTTGTTCTGTCTTACTCAACGATAGTAACAGAAACAGTTATTAAATATTTTCAGAAAGGTCATTGTAAACTTGCAATTATTTTTTATTATCGTTTCCTATTAATGATTTAATTTAATATATATAAATCAACTGTTACATATACGGCTATTTATCTTTTTTTATTGTTTCCTATTTACTAATAATATAGAACGGATGAATAAATCATATAGGTTTAATCGTCTAGTATTTCCGTTCTGCTATTAGTAAATAGGAAAAAATAAAAAAAGACATATAGTCGCATTTGCAAATAGAAAAAAGACGATAAGTTAAAATTCAAATGTTAACTGATGAAAGAAATAGAAACTTTCTCCGAAACGTTTTAAATAAATATTTATATATGTGAGATCGTTTAAACAAAGATACACACTTTATTTCTCACGTTCACAGCAGGATTAATTTGTATGATAAATGATTAATAACTTCTAAATCTTGGAGTTTTTTTACTCAAGTTTTATAACATGACGGTTTGAACGTAATCTAAATATTGAATATTTTATAAAAGATCTCAAAGTTCTATTCGACATATTCTATTAAGATAAATTGTATGTGTAGACGATTGTGAATTATCTGATCAAGAGTTCTTAGAATCGGTTCATTCAATCACGTCGATTTTTACAAAAAAAGAAGCGCTATTTAAAAAACAAATTACTGGAATACATAGAGTCCATCGTATATATACGAATCTATTGTTTGTTCTATAGGGAATTACATTAGAATTTATTTTAAAAACAAAATTGAGAAAAAAATAATTGTTTATGTATGAAATGATATGAAGTAGACCATTTATACATTAAATCGTTTCGTCTTGTAACCGATTTTATCCCAAAAGTCACAATCGTCTTTTAAATAATATTTTCGAATATCAAGTGGATCTTGAAAGTATAAATAAGATTTATTTACATTTGCTTCTGGCCATATTAATGATCCTGCTACTGGTTGATTTGGATTATGACTTTTAGCAAAATTTGTCCAATAAGTTGCCATACTTGTTGATACACGTCTACCAGCATCTGTAAAATTGACCCATGTTGATTCAAATGTATAGGGTAACTCACCAGCGTGACATACATGATTATTACAAAATGTTTCATTTTCCCATCCATCAAAATCAAGTGGAAAACCAAAAACATACGAATATGTAGCAGCTTTACGAGCATAAACCCGTGTTGGACATGCAAATACCCATTGTGTAGCCAAAACAGATACAAGTGCTCGTTGATCGTCGAGTTCTCTAGGTGGATATCGTTCAAATACTTTAAGTGCATTTTCATGAAAAGTAAAAGTAAGAATTTCCATATATTGTGGTATTGTAATTGGCTGTGCCCATGCTTCATAAATATAAAAAACAGCTTCTTCAGTTAATGTACCAATTATCATAGGTTTCAAAGGATATGATGTATTTTGAACAAGATCCATGAGTTGACCGTTGACAATTTTATTATCAATAACAGGTAACCATGGTTCAAAGAAAAGTAAAAATTTGAATGAAGTCAACATAGTATCAACTTTAGTTTGAGCGGTTGCAATATCTTGATAAGTTTGTCGACGTAAACAATTAATATCGCCTATAGCACATTTAAGTTGTTCAGCGAGAAGAACAGCAGGTGCGATATATTCTGCATATGTTCTATATCAAATGACAATGATACTATTTTCATATTTAACTTATATAAATTACCTGAAAGGAATTGCTAAAGGAGCACTTTGAACAATACTCGCCTGAAAATATGATTGCATTTCACTTGTAACATGATGTAATGCCACGGATTGTGCTCCAGCACTTTGACCGAAAAGGGTTATCTAGAAAATGAGATGAATATTATATGTTTAATAGAAAAAAGAATTTTTTTTATATTCAAAACCTGATTGGGATCTCCACCAAAAGCAGCAATATTTGCTTTGATCCATGCGATAGCTAATCGTTGATCAAGAATACCATAATTACCAGTGATATCATTCGGTCCTGTACCCGTTGCAAGAAAACCAAGTGCACCTTTGAATTATAGAAAGCAAGTTTGAAATATAATGCTCTTTTTTTTTGTTATAATGTACTTACCAAGACGAAATTGAATAAGAGCGATGATAACGTTTGTAGTATTTACAATATGTTCAGATTCATAGACTGGTATTGAAGCATCAAGATATTGAAAATTTCCACCAGGAATAAAAATCATCACTGGAAGAGGTGATGTCGATGATGAATTTGTCATTCGTGGCGTAAAAATATTCAAATAAAGACAATCTTCGGAGAACTATATAAATACAATAAAGGAAATAATTGACAGTATTATCAGTGGCGAAAAAAAAAAGAGTATGAGTGTATTTTTACTTTTGTCGGGCAAAGAAGAGATGGAATACCACCACATGGTGGTTGAGGACAAGCAGGAGCCCGTGTTGTAGCGTTCAATACGTTTGGTGCCCATTTGGAAACAGGTACTGGTCGATTCCATCTAAATAGTTTATGTTATAATAGAAATGTTCATTGTCATTATTAACGTACCTCAAGTCACCGACAGGTGGTTGTGCAAATGGAATGCCGTAGAAAATACGAGCCATATCTGTTTCATAACCAAGTACATCACCATAGTTAGTAGAAACGGTAATTGTTCGATTAGTAGCGGAGCATTTTAATAAACAACTGAGAAAAATCGATATTAATACAATCATTATTCTCGTCATTAAACTAGTAATACATGTTTGTTTGTCAGAAAAAAAACTACAATATATATTTTTCGTTTATTTCTAATTTATAACAACTGATAACAACAGATGTATTTTATCAAGGTATTTGACCAAGGCACACAGAACATTATCTTCCCAAACTTTGAAATCTGCTAGTCTCAATGTTGATAAATAAAATAAACTATAACTATTATTAGAATACTAAGTCTTCTGGCAAGAAAAGAATGAATATTTTTCATTTTAATTAGAAAATAATAAACTGTTCATATCACCGAAGGATAAATGTTTGGTTAGTATGAGATTAAGTTTATATATTTTGAATAAATATTATCATGTAAGTGAATCATACATTTTGCTCTATTTTACCTGTGAATAAGACAAAAATAGTTTTATCTTTAGATATCTAGATATACAGGTAATGTGGAGCATTGTTTTAAAAAAATATGTATGACTGATCTATATTATTAAATTTCTACCATTATTAAATCTTATTTGATAATTGTATTATAATGATAATATCATTATTTATTTATTGATAGATCAGGAAAGTTAATATTTCTATTAATTGTTCATTAGAATTCAAAGACGAATTATAATATTGTTTAACATTTTTAACAGCTATGAATGATGAAATTATATATATATTAAACATTTAAGATAAATTGAAATCTTCTACATTTTGATATTTAATAAAATAATATTTATCATAATTTTTAAATACTCTTTGAATTAAAAAAACATCAATTGAAATGAATATTCAAAGGATTATTATAGATTTTATAATTATAAAATATTGATCAATATTATTTTCATAATTGTATTGTGGAGGAAAGAAAAATTCATCTGACATTCTTGAAAAATATTGCATTGATACTCATAGTGCACAAAATGTTCATTATTTTAATGGTTAATTCGGCAGTATTGAAACTAAAGCTGTATACTTCATTTCCAACAATTATTATATTCAGCTTATTTTAATCCACCATTGGATTCAGAAACGATGAACTTTTCTTGTTACAGTTAAGGTTATTATGATGCTTCTGTCTACTAAATTGAATAGCTGTTAATAATATCACTAGTGCACAAACACTACATGCTATATTTGATGATCTATTATTAGTAGTAGTATCGTATCGCTGATTTATCTTCTATACAAAACTTGATTCTTTGAGGCATAGAACTCATGAAGAAATTTTATTTTAGTAATGATGTTAAAAATATACGAAAAGAAAAGAATCAAAAGACATTTATTTACAAACGAAAATTGTTGCTTTCATACGTGCCTGAATAACTATATCAAGCAATATGGAAAAAATGGTATATATCAAAATCTTCATTATAATGGAATGTTATTTAAATACAAATTGTATCGATTGTAATACTTTAACGAAATTGACGGAACTAATTACTACCACAGAATGTTAATTGCTGACTGTTATATATTTGAACATCAGTACATCCAACAAGTGATGGAGCACCTGTAAATGGTCCAGCTGAATTACAGTTTGAATTTAATTCGTAACATTCATACGTGTCTGAAGTCCAAACACAGCAATTATTCGATATTGTACTTCGATATGTTTTACCTATAAACTGTGTCGCAATACATGTCAAAACTGCATTCGTTCCTTGACTATAGCCAGTTATACAACTGCCACCCGATCCATCGAGGTAATAACAGTGGTTATTCCATGAAACTTCATAACTTTGACAACTAGCCACAAGTGTTGTTGTTGTTGTACAAGCTAAATGAGAAGATGTGTCTTATTATTTAGTTGTGAAAAGTTGTTACAAAAATCAGAAACAACTTACGTGTTGCTACAGTATTAGCACAAGTAACTGTCGACGGTGTGAATGGATTAGTTGTTGTAGTTGAAGCTAAAAAGATATAAAAATGTAATTTATCCTAGCTTTTGGTTGGTTAGTTAGAATGAACACAATCATTTGGTTGGATCTTTCCGAGAAAAGATTATAAGTAGGTCAAATACTTCAAACAAGGAAAATGGAAGCACAATTGTTCTTTTGATTTATTTCTATCAAATCTAAGTCATATTTTTAATAGTTTATCTAACCAAAATCTTCTTTTAGAGTGCATCTCTGTTCGCTATATGGAATGCTTGTCAAAAATAAAAAGAAAACATAATATTTCAAGAGAATAAAAACATTTGCGTCTTTATTTTAAGTAGTAAGCTAGATGGCTATTTGATTGTTCAAGAATTATCTATGTTATTTAACCAGATTGTCCGCTTATCAAATAAGAAACTTTTTGAGTTAGTATTTAGAATGATTCACGAATGACTGACTTCTGTATTCTCACTAGCCATAACAGGAATGCTATGCTGCGCTGTGATACAGTATATTTTCCTTGAATTATAAGACTCAACCAACTACTCAAAATTTATTTAATTCTCTGATCAGAGATAACTATGTACAATGACGTAATTAAATTATAAGTATTTCGACATATACAGAATTTTCAACGATGTTATCTGACAGAGACTATTCTTTTATGAAGTTTCATTTATTACATCACTTGAGAGCAATAAATTACGTACCTGTTGTTGTTGTAGAAGTACTGGTGGTACTTGTTGTTGACGTAGTACTAGTACTTGTCGAAGAAGTTGTTGTTGTTGTTGATGTACTTGTACTTGTCGAAGAAGTTGTTGTTGTTGTTGATGTAGTGCTAGTGCTTGTCGAAGTTGTTGATGTTGTAGCACTCGTACTACTAGTGCTTGTCGAAGAAGTTGTCGTCGTGGAGCTAGTAGTGGTCATAGTACTAGCGCTTGTTGTATCTAATATATACCATAAAGAGAATATAGCATATGCTCGCGACATAGACAGAAACTATGACTTTCTCAAATGAAATTCCCAGATATCTTTTAGATCTCACCTCGTTACAATTTATATGTGAAGGCTAGCAAAAACGAGATATACTGAACGTGACAGGCAAAATAAAAGACATTTTTATTAATACAATAATTTTCCTAAATTCTGATCAGCCGATCGAACAATATATACAATAACATCCTATAGAAAAGTACGAATTATATGAAGAAAGTAATTGCTTTCGCCGAAACTTTTGAAATTTTTGAGTAATCGTCAGGACTTTCATAAAAATACCTCAGCTTAAATATCATTGATTTTATGTTGTAGATACTCTCACATACTAGCTCATCAATTCAATATAAGATTCATCAATCAGTTGTTCATGAAAAAAAACAGCATAAGGCTATTTCATTGTCGCTATCTTGTACATATATTTAAAGCATTGTTGTAACAGCTACTCCTACACTCACATTCATATTTTCATCTATTTTTATGGCAAATTTAACAGAGGATCTTCTCATATATTCACTGACATGAAAAATAGAAAACTTTCACAAATTCTTACTAATTGGATCTTTCCATATAGTTGTAACTGCAGCCAAAGCAATACCACCTGTTAAGAGACCAATTACTAACCCAAATAAACAAGTTTTAGACTTCGCATAACCAAGAAGACGCTTGCTGACTCGTCTAAAAAACAATTCAACCAAATACCTGTTGAAATAGTATGGTTCAAAATAAATATAATCATACTTTATGCAGTTTGTTTTATCGTCTGTTTGCTCTTTATGTTGTTGACTATAATCTGATTTAGTGAAATCAATACCTGTAGAATGACTACTTCTTTGTGCCATATATAGCATTTCCAAAGAACTTCTACCATTTTCCATCATTTTCTACAAACCAAATGGAATCACGTTATAGTTACTATGTCGCAGATGCTTTCGCTCTCACATCTTACCATTCGACTTACACGTCACGTTTGTAGCTCGTTTCTGTCTGTATATAAAACAATTCTATATGAACTATATTTACCAATAAGTATGTGAGTATCATTTTATAGGTATCTATCTAATTATATATAAAATTCAATACCTAATCAACATTCTTCTGTTTGAAAACACACTTCTATGGAACTGATTTGAATGTAATAATTAGGCTTCTTTTTGCTTCTGTACAGTCTTTTCTTTTCAACATAACAAATGTTAATTTTAGACGAAGGAAAGTACTGATTTCTTTGCTGTTACTTCATAGCGTTTATTATTTGAATTTTTGTTAGTAGACATGTGTTAATCCATAAACCAATGGTAGAAACAAATTTCAGTATTGTATTAGAAAGTAGTGCTTTAGTTATTTTTTTATTAACTAAAATCTCTGTGTTAATGGAAATGAGGTTATAAGCATTATTACTTTATCTGTATGAAAAATATAATTAAGTCCAAGTCAGCGATAGACAAAATACATGCATGTTATTTTTCTGTTTATTATTGTCGATTTGATAGCTGAGGTTCTTGTTGAGATATTTATTTTTTAATTATGCTTAATAATAAATGTACAATTAATACATCAAGTTTTGATTTGAGAACAATATATATGCGTACTTGAATTTATTGTTTTTAAGCTTTTTCAATAGTGAATTACATTTCTTATTAATATAATTCATTTATTTTTAAGCTTTCTATATCCACATCACAATGCAATGTTAGATGTACTTTCTCTATAACAAACGCGCATGATCAATTTTATAGCTTCTCGAACATGACTTAGTTAAAGAAACAATACAACTGAAAATTATGTTTTTTATTGAAAGAAATGTAACGAAGAAACTTCGAAACAGTAATATTAAATGTATTTAAAATAAAATATATAGAACAAAGATGTATTTTATGTATTAATAAAACTTGTGACTTAGTATTAGATTCTTATAGATTATAATTTGTTTTCATAAATGGTTTAAGAGAAACATATAGCTGTTTTTGGAAAAGATATTTTAGGTTCATAAAATTTTTTCATACTATTTCATAGTTTTTGAATCAGTTTTTCGAAGGTATCAATATACAGGTGGACCATAGAGAACACTTCGATAAGAAATCCAAATATCTTGTCCGCCAAATGTTCTATTGAGTAAAAATCTAATTATACCAGGAGTATTTTTCAATAAGTTTCATAGAGCTCATAGCAGATGAAAAAATCCTTATTGGTGTAATCCTACTAGATACGAACAGCAATTTGGTGATTTTTCTTGTAAGAAAAAAAAACGTTATCAAACAACAAATAATATTCATTTGAATAAATTTTTTATTCTATAAAAAATTTATAATTAATTCATTATATCAACCTACTCAATTTATGAATGATGTGCTTGTTCATTTGAAAAATAATTCATTCTGTTTTATGCTACTATATTAATCTCATTAGTATTTTTGCATGTATTGAGTTAACGCCACATTTTAATTATTAATAAGTACATCATCATCATATAATATTCTGTCAGAAATTTTTTTTTTAGTTTCATAATTAATAAAATAAACGTCAAACAAAATTTTAATTAAATGTTCAAGCCTTAGTTGATATAATAGTATATAAAATTAGAGATTTGTTCTTCTTTTTTTTTTGTCTTGATTAAACATTTGTAAAATAATAATGTCTTCAACAGTATATTTATTATCAATACAAAATTTATTAACACGATATGGTATGAGTACATATGTTGCATTTGGTAATATCGGAAATTTATTAACCATTGCTGTTTTTTGTCAATCGGAACAACGTCGAAATTCTTGTTCATTTTATTTATTATGGATGACAATATGTAATTTAATATGTCTTAATGTTGGTATAATTCCGATTATATTTTCCTTAGATCATACAGATATAAGTACAACAATTCTTATCGCTTGTAAACTTCAATTTTATATTCGTCATACATCATTTCAAATAATGAGACAATATAAAGTATTAGCTTGTATCGATCGTTTTGCTTTATGTAGTTTACAAGTTCGAATACGTTCATTTAGTCA